CACACACACACACACACACACACACACTCCCATGTCCACTGTTTATTGTCCACAATTATTAAAGAAAGCAATGATCACAACAGCCGCTTTGGTTATAGTTGATATCTAATACTGCCACGTCCCCTCGTCATGACATTGAGCGGTGTAGCCTACTGTAAGTTGCAGGTGCACTCGTGATGAAGGTGTTTCTTCGGGGGGGAAAAAGCATGGGACCTAAGCGAATGAAAAAAGTGGGCCGTACCGCTGCGACGTAACAAACGGCGGAGGGAGCTAAACTCCAACTCACACCACATTCAACACTTCCTCACTTTCCTCTACACCTCTGGTCGCGGTGCAGCTGCGCCTCGTGTCGGCGAACCACTTTTTAGGAATCGCTTCTCCTAAAACTTTGGTCTTGAGATTGAATGCTAACAATTTGCAGTTTTCACCGAAATGTTGGGTACTGTAAAGATGGAAGGACAAGAGACCCCAGATTGGAGCAGCTATTACAGTGACGCGCAAGAGGTATGTTTCTAACATTAATTTATATTTGCGTTTTATTTATTTGCCTGTTTGATTTCATTGAGCGACTAGAACTGTAGGTGAACTGAATAAATACGATGCGAACAGATTATGTCCTTAAGTGATTTGATAGTAAAAAGGTAGAGTACTATTCCGCTAAAATATTTGGTAGACTGTTTCGGGGAACACATTCTTATGCGGCTTTAGTTTCAGGATCATTCTTCGCACAGTTCAAGAACAGCGAACCCGCCGGGTGGCAGCAGTGAACGTGTATAGTCTACCGCAGCCTACCTCGCGGATCCTTAACAGAATTTGAAAACTTCTCCTGTTTGAGTCAACAGTAAAAATGAAACTTTCAGTTTCAAATATATTTCTTTATCAAGCTCCTTATAATAGCCATTTATTGTCCAGACCCGCGGTAGTGAAACTGAAATTCTTGTTTTGTCTTCCAGAGATTGGTGATATTTTCTTGTTTAAAATTTACATTTAAAATGCTAATGTTTATCCAACTAAGCCAGTCAGACATTCGCTTATGTTTTTTTAAATGTTAATCACGTGAAAAGAAATACGCTTAAATATATACATGTTATATCTCCTATGATGTTTAAGGTTGCGAAACACGGACAAAACACCGGCACGGGTGCAATATATCAGTGTTCTAGTCTTTACTATTAATTTAGTGTTTACTGTCGATTTACTATTTCGTTTAAATTAAAACATTTTCATTTGCCATATTGCATCGTGCTAATTTAATTTTCAGCTAAAAGTGCAATTTGACCCACTTGTATTATAAAAAAATTGGGTCATGATTTCGATGGAATAATCGTCACTTTTGTTTTTCTTGAGTTTTATCTTTCTGTTCAAATCTTAACACACACGAGACGTCTTTAAGAAAAAACTATCACTTCTCATTGTCAACACATTTGCATTGAATGCTACGGAGAACCTAATCTATTTAAGCACAATTTCAAAGAATTAACGCGCAGAAGTTATTGTGTGTAAATTAATAGGGTCAATTGTTAAGATAGAAGTGTTTATTTAAGACCAGCATTCAAATGTTTTCATGGGTATTTAAATGTGTGAATATTGTTTGTTTTCTTTTAGGTGTACTCATCTGTACCGAACAGTGGTATGAATACAGGACTGGGCTCTATGAATAGCATGAACGGTTACATGGGTATGTCTACCAGCGGAAATATGACACCCAGTTCTTTCAATATGTCCTATGCCAATCCAAGTCTGGGTGCCACACTTAGCCCCGGGACAATGACAGGGATGCCCCCGAGCGCGACGAGCGCGATCAATGGGATGACTAGCGGCGTATCGGCGATGGGCGCCGCTCTCAGCCCCACGAACATGAACGCCATGTCCGCTCAGCAGGCTTCCATGAACGCGCTGACCCCTTACTCCAGCATGAGTCCGACCATGAGTTCAATGGCGTACGGGCAGCCCAGTCTGAACCGGGTGCGGGACACTAAGACTTTTAGAAGAAGTTACCCACATGCAAAGCCGCCCTATTCGTACATATCTCTAATAACCATGGCAATCCAACAATCGCCGAGCAAGATGCTCACACTTAGCGAGATATACCAGTGGATAATGGACCTGTTTCCCTATTATCGGCAGAATCAACAGAGGTGGCAAAACTCCATACGGCATTCGCTGTCGTTCAACGATTGTTTCGTCAAAGTTTCCCGGTCGCCCGATAAACCAGGAAAAGGCTCGTATTGGGCCCTGCACCCAGATTCTGGAAATATGTTTGAGAATGGCTGCTACCTCCGCAGGCAGAAGCGCTTTAAGTGCGAGAAAAAGTTGTCTACGAGCAAAGGATCTGATGGCAGGAAAGATCAGTCCAACGGTTCGGGTTCGCCTTCTGACAGTGCAAACAATAAGGGTGGACATATGGACTCCAGCTCCATCTCCAGTTCGAACCAGTCATCTAGTCCTCATAGTTTGGACCACTCGAGCGGCACCACAGTTTCTGAACTGAAGAACAGCGGCCCGCCAGTGCACCCAGTGCCCAGTTCGGCCACTGTCTTGTCCTCCATATCCTTGCCTCCGCATTCGATGTCTCACGAATCCCAGCTGCACCTTAAAGGAGACCCACATTATTCTTTCAATCATCCGTTTTCCATCAATAATTTAATGTCTTCTTCAGAGCAGCAGCATAAACTGGACTTGAAGGCGTACGAGCAGGCTTTGCAGTACTCCTACGGGTCAGGCATTTCTTCCAGTCTGCCGCTCGGCAGTGCCACAATGGCGGGAAGAGCCTCCATGGACCCTTCTGCAATAGAAGCTTCTTACTATCAAGGTGTGTATTCGAGACCTGTCCTTAACACATCTTAGTTTCCTGTTACTTCTACCGTACTGAAGGAAGACAGCAGAAAATATTTTATTTTGCATGCACTTGGTGCATAAAGACTGTTACCTTAATGTATAAGAATGCTAATGTATAAAATAAAATATACTGTAAAGTGTGCCATTTGAATGACTGTATATCCCAGCTGGAAATCATTGCAAGTGTTTTGGTAGTGTATTTAATTAAAACAAATTCGATCTTGTATAATAATGTTGTATTCCCCCGAACCTGTAGTCGCCACCACGAATCTTTCCGATATGTTACAGTGCGCATGAATGAAGGTCACTAAGGTTTTGTGGACTGTCAACGTAATACAGGTAAAAATGTAAAAAGAAAAGACAAAAAAAAAACAAATCCTCTGCGACCAGATGTTCCGTTTATAGATGTTGTCATTTTACTCATTGCTTTGGTTTTATTTGCTTAGTTTTGACATACACATTTAAACAATTTTGTATATATAAAACGTTCATCCGCAGTGAAATGCATTATTATAAATAAAACGCATTTCTATGTGAAGCAATTCCCAAGTCTTCTGTGATATTTTAAGTGAAGCGCATTGAGAGTTATTCAACTGCTTATCTGTTATCTTTTCCTGTTTACTCTCGTGCCATTTGGGTTGCATAATTTATTTCTTGGTAATTTTTAAATAAAAGATCAAAAGTATCTTGATTTACTTTTTGTAATTTCTGGAAATAATTCCAATCGAATCCGAAACAATGACGTATACAGAAATCTTACATTATTTGTTCAACTCACAACTGAATTAATAAATGATGCAGTTCGCATGTATTTGTACTACAATTCTATGTTTGATCTGTTGTTTGTTTATATATAAACATTATATATATATTATATATATATATATATATATATATA